GGAAGGAAGGAAGGAAGGAAGGAAGGAAAGAAGGAAGGAAGGAAACAAACAAACTAAAAAATTATGGTGTCTTACTTTTTGAACCAGAATGGCAGCATCATCAGTGTAGTGAGGTAACTCATACTAGAGCCAATCCCCCATAGTACACCAAACGTCAGGTATAGCAAGTACAGGTCTTTAACAAACGATGATAAAACAAATCCCAGGACACCTAGCAAACCACCAGCAATGGCGACTACCCGGCATCCCACGCGCTCGCACAAAGATGATGCGATTGGACAGAAGAGAAACATCATCCCGAGACCAATAGATAAAACCCATGCTGAAAAGAAAAGTTAGATGGTTAAATTACAATAAATATCTGATCGTGCTTAGCTTGAGCCCGCCAATGGGCACTGAGGGGGACGTGTGAGAGCGATTTCAACATTTGCATGCCTCTGGCTCTAGTTGCTACTTAACCTTGGCCTACAGCGCAGTATTAAGTGGTAAACCGCGGTCTTTCATTGTAATCTATAGCAAAATAAGGCACTTTGTCTTGACTAAGTATAAGACTATTAGCAACTGATACCATGATCATGGTCCAAAGTACGAACCAAAGGGCTTTTTCGTTTTGAAATCACGAATATTATTATATAGTTTCAAAGCTGAATTACTAACAAATACAAAGACATGGTCCCTTTTTGTTTCACCGGTTACTTTCTCTCAGCCATGATATCATTTCCCCCTGTCTCACTATGCGACGGACGAGCGAATAGCTGCAAAAGATATTCCATATATGAGATATCTAGTTACCCAGTTATCGAGGCTTATATAATCATTAATTACTATATACACCTACTTGCAAGAACGTTGTCATACGAAAATAGAACATTAGTGATTTAGTGGGATAGGAATTATATTAAAAAACAAAAGAAGATCACTGAAGCTGAACTTTTTCTTTTGTCTTTTAATGTATTCCTTTCTCACTAAATTACTAATGTTCTATTCTTGTATGTCAACATTCTTGCAAGTAGGTGTATATACGATCAGAAAATAATAAAGTAAGTTTTAAAAACGTCGTAAAAGTTGGGAATAACTAATGTTGCGCAAATAAGAATATATCGTGATGTGATATGGTGGTGACGTGTAAATATAGGGTTTTCTATATCACTATAAGTAGGATGCCATCGTATCCGGCAGAAAACAGGGTTAAGTGATGTTTGAGTCTAATTCCATGGCATGTAACGTCTTGCATAATCTTAACGTTAGTAAAGCTTTAGTTTCGATTTACTAAAATAAGAAATGCAAGATTGCTTAATGACCAGTATGGTAACTGAATCCCATGGAAGTGCAATGATATTTGATCTAACGTTTTTAAAAACACGGCGCAGTTAATAAAAGTTAATAATGAAATAGTAAGAATTAAAATTGAGATAAAATGAGTAAATAAGAAGAAAAATGATGAAAGAAAAAGAAAAGGGAAAGAGAGAAAACGCGATAGGATTCAAGTGATAAAAGGAAAGAAAGAAAGCTATCGTTTTATCAAAAATGATCGAAGACTGACAAAACGAATAGGCACGCTAGAGATCGCTGTTGGCGTATTTTTACGCCGGAACCATGTTAACCAATCAACGTAGGTCTTTCTAACGACTCTATGTATCTATAGTAACAGGAGGCCTTGAGTTAAGGGGAAAAAGTCACATGTTATATTCATGTTCATACTTATTTATTTTATGAAAACTGATATTTAAGCATTATCGCGTGAAGATCATATTCAAACATTTTATCTCTTAGCGCTAAGAATAATACCTGGAGTATTCAATTTTATAAAGCAAATGATGAAATAATGAAATAACAATGACTAGAAACATGGATTGGAATGGATCGGAGGTCAGAAAACATGGACTGGACTCGGAAAACATAGACCGGTGCACAAACATGGAAGCGGGATAAACACGAAATTTGAGTCCTTGGAAAAGTAAGCTGCTTAAATATGACGTCATTCAAGTAAACATAAAATCATATCAGACTTATCATATGCCTTCACTGCATCAACAACACATTCTTTTATGGTTATATCATGATATATGCAGAAAAAAGTTCCCCTGCGCCTTTTTCAATTCAATTAATTTGACCTGCTGAAGCCTATTATAAAATGTAATTATTTTAAGATGCCCCTTGATGTGATAATGCCCCAGGTATCCCGGATGGGAACTTCCGGTTCAGTTGAGGTCGAAGAAGGCAAATCTATCCTACAAGAACGCCCACTAAAGACTTAGGCCCCGTCCACACCATGCCGGATAAATTTGAATCCGAATTTTTATTTATTCGGTTCCATTTCAAGAATTCGTTTTCGGTGAAGAATTGTTCCGGATTCGCCCGGACTAGTGTGGACGGTAGGGCTAAACGTTTTCGTTATTATGATTATCAGCGATGCAGTAAGTAATTAATTCTAGTCAAAAAACATCGTACTTAACACACGCTTAGAGAAACACAATACATGCATGCATCATTAGCCACACACAGCAGCACTCTTAATAGAATTACTACAGGTATAACAATAGTGACAACATTTACATATCAATAACCAAGTTGTTGTTTTCTTCGATGCAAATGTGGAAAAAAACCATGTTGTTTTCATCTTCAAAATGTTACGCAAGTTTAGTGAGAGAATAAATGTGAGTTTAAGATTGAGTTTCTCGGTTTTGAAGAAGGAAAAGCTTGAAAATCTTGTACGGCATTGCTTAGCAAATAACATCTGTACATCGTCTTGTACATTTGGTGTTAGTATTAAGATATAGGGTGAAATACGGGCGATAGTGAACATTATAATTCTATAAAAATGCTCTGTATTTTTGAACTACAGACATATCAGAAATTAATTCACCTAAAGGCAATGAGTATCAAGCAGAGTTTGGTAATTCTTTAAGCGCTAATAACTGGGTTTACTTGGTTAGATAAACAATGACTTGTGCAGTCGCAAAACATATAAGCTTATGAACAATTTTGAACATCGCTGATTCGCACTCGAATTATTTTCTTGAAGAGAATATTTTGCTCGACAAAAACTTTATTTTGTACCATCCACACGTATTGGTCGCCACGCTTGCCTCTAGGCATATAAACAACAAATGACCACAATATAGTCATGACATCAGATCTTCAAGTGTCAACGAAAAGATACTTCCAATTAGTTCAAAACGGAAAATACAAGTACAATTCCAAGATATGAAGAAAATAGATTAAAAATATCTTATGATTATTTCAGGAATCCATGTTACCGCTACTGTTTTGAGAATAAAGGAAGGGCATGACGGGTTGATGTTGCAATTCAATTTCCGGTAGCTGTTGATTTCAGCGTGACCGGTGACATTCAAGTGCGGTGAAATCGAATTTACAGCTGGAATTTTCTTTAAAAATAACGCAATCCCGTTTCAAAAAATGGTTAGTATTACTAGACCTTGTGCAATCTTCCTTCATATCAGTAAAATACACATATTTGACCAAAAGAACATGTGACAGTGCGAGGGATAGATGGATAGAGAAGTAATGTACACTTGTATCTTTATTGTCATAAGCACGGGCGAACTTGATGACAATTCAACTTGTGAGTTTATCAAGTTTAGGCCTGTAGAAACATTATTCCTCACAATATCAGCAGATGTTTATACAAAATGAGTGCAAGAAAAATCGGTGTTAACCTCAAAATGTACAAATACCTGTTGCCTGGGGCTTGAAATAATATTGATGTCAGAATTAAATTAAATCTCTTTAAAGCGAAGTTAACTTAAAATAAATGAATATTTGCTGTTACATGTAACAATATCTGGCCTTGCATCTCAGATAACGAAGTCTTGTGATAAGATTTCAAAACAATTCTTTATAAAATGCATCTTACAAGCAAAATCCTATTTCGATTTTGACAACCGCAAAGATGCTGAACTTGAGACTACAATAATATTTCCTTAGTTAGAAATCGAAAAGATTGCTTGTAAAGAAGCGACAAAATTACAAATAATTTAAAGTACCTGTATCTCCCTTTCGTCCTTTGAACTCGGTCAGCAAACAAGTATATAAAATCCCAGTGTTATTCTGTATCCCTAGAATTATAAACTGTGCGGTGAACCCAGCGAGGCAAACAAGCCATCCCCAGCCGCCTTCGGGAAACGGGTTCAGTTCCACGATGTTAACCGTTTCAGGGCTATTTTCAGTTTTGTCTTTTTTCCCCATGGTGTATTAATTCTTGTATGAAGGGTATGCACGAGCCAAAAGCGATCTAACTTTCCTTTCGTGGTTCACGCGCCTCTTGCTACGGTCAGTTGAACAAAATATCCTTAGTTGACAAGATATTTTTTTAGTCCCAATGACGTCATTGGGCGCGTGGTAGTACGTATTGTGATTGGTTAAAAAATGGCATGATCGCTAATGACAAACAAAGTGAAAACCCCCATCAAAAGAATTCTTTCAAAGGAATCAATCATGTGTTAACCTCGTGACTTATAAATCTATGAACCCTCGACTTTTGATTACTAGAACAGAAGAAAAAGGTTTATACCCGATATCATGTGAAAMATCGAAACATCTACATGAATATTTATTTGTAAGAGGGATTTCAAGCAAACTGGTTTTACGAGTTTGTGACGTCAGGACACTTGGTTGCGATTGGACGAAAAATTTGAAGTAAAACTACATTCACGTATTTATGCTGTCACGTATTATGCTGTCACGTATGTTTTAGCTGTTACGAGTTGAGAAAAATCATCTGGGTTTATAGTTAACATTTTGAGGCTGTTTTAAGAGAAATATTTTCCAAGATGGTGGCTAAACAATCCCAAATTGCTCGTCACACCATAGCATTGCAGAGTCGGCCCACTTTTCTCCTCGACCTCGGGGCTAAATATACACCTAATTGCAAAGGGGAAAAAAAAAAAAAAAAAAAGGATAAACAAATAAAATAAAATAACAAGAAGAAATACCCCGTCCCCCATATTTGATGAAAACAACAGTCTATACCTTCATAACAGTGTAATAATTGCACCATGATTTGATATGACAATGTCATATTCCACCCACCCTCCCCACCCTTATTCCTTTTGAGTTGTCATGTTCAATCATTTCAGGTACATTCTTATTCATTTTGTGGAAAGGTTTTTAATGATCATAGACTGGTTACCGGGAATGAATTTTAAAACAGTTACTCTGACGAATGAATTTTCCTTCTAGATGTTATTAACCTGGTTATCGGTCCTACCGGTTGTAAGTTGCAGTAGTTTGAAACCCCCATCAAATACTTCTCGGACTTTGAAATATTTCAAATTACTAGAACTTTGAAATAAAAACAAACATAACGAAAAGAGTAAAATGTATAATATATATACAGTCAATGTCATTCACGTTGTCCACCAAAAAAATCATTTACACATTTAGACATTTACACATTTAGACTAAAAGAAATATCACGTGTTTCCTCGAAGGTTCTGGCATAAAACAAATGCTGAAGTACCATTCTCCATCTTAAATCCTGACTAAGTGGTCAGGGCATTCTGAATTTTCGATTCACGAGTTGAATTTTACATTTAAAGTTCAGACTGACGCACACGAGGCAAAGAATACATAATGAAACACGTGATATATCTTTTAGTCTAAATGTGTAAATGCGTAAATGTGTAAATGTCTTTTTTCGGTGGACAACGTTAATGACCATTGACTGTATGTCCTGTCAAATACTCGTCACTGTACTCTATTGGGCTACGGCTACACCTCGGCATTTTTTGAARTTCCACTCGGATTTTGAAACCCCCGCATTAGAATACAGCAACTCGTATTTGAAACATTACATCTAGATGATATTAACCTAATTTCGCTCTAAATTGGTTTGACAACTATCTGAAACAAAGAACACAATCTGTCTTCATCAACGGTACTTTATCTGATTGCTTTGACTTATCAGTTGGAGTTCCTCACGGATCCGTACTCGGTCCGCTGTTGTTTATAATATTCATAAACGATTTGCCAAGTATTGTCGAGCATAGTAAAGTTGTAATCTACGCTGATGATACAACACTATTCTTTGCTGGTAAAGATGTTGGTACCATACAGTCTACTCTACAGCGTGATCTAAACCGTTTGAATGATTGGTTCAATGTCAACGAGTTGATAGTAAATTGCAAGAAGACGAAGGTAATGTTGTTTGGAAGCAGACAGAGACTTGCCAGATGTGCTCAACCTGTTCTTTCCTTTAATGGATCTGCTCTTGACTTCACTGAAACCATGAAGTACCTTGGTTTGACATTCGACTCTGTTATAAATTGGCACTCCCATATTGACTCTTTTGCTTCAAAGGTTTCACGGCGGCTAAGTCTACTRAGTAGGATTAGAAAATACCTGAACGAGGACACCTGTCGTCAGTTGCATACAGCCCTAATCCAGCCCTTGTACGAGTATTGTGATGTAATTTGGACTAATGCAGATCCTACAAGTCTTGAAAGACTCCATCGTTTACAGAGAAGAGGCGCTCGCATTATCTTAAAGAAGAGAGTCAGAGAAGATCGTACAGAAACATTGTTTAGAAGTCTTGGCTGGGTTAGTTTAACCGCCAGATGGAACTTTCACAAATGTTTGACTGTTTTTAAATGCTTAAATGGCTTTTGTCCTTCTTATTTATCCAACATTTTTTGTCTGAATTCAGAAGTACATAAGTATAATACTCGTTCTAGAAATAATATTCATATGCACAAAGTTTCGTCTAAGTCAGGCCTTCGTTCTTTTTCCTTTTCTGCTGCTAAACTGTTTAACA